CCAAATAGAAATAGAATGACTGTGGCAAAAGAAAGCAAAGATAGTACCAATAGAATAGGCACCTTGAATGTAATCCCAAAACATCTGGAGTACCACTTGAAGACCATCGGCATTGACAAGATAACCATCAATCATTACTTGGAACAACTTACATCCTGTAACAATACCTTTAACACCATTAAACAACAACATCTGCCTATCCCAGGTCCTTGGGAAGGACTCGATAGGTGAATAAAAATGCCAAACCCAGTCTTAACATCTGGCTCACTGTGTGACCTACAATAATAATGCATTCATTGTCTGTCATGGCTAAAACACTGTTTATTTCCTGTTATTGGAGAATAATCTTCTCCCTCCAATATTTTGCTAGAGTCAAACTGTTCCTTACCTCATTGCATCTGCTTATTCGTCTTGCCACAATCAGTTGAATCATTCCACGTTTATTTCCCTCTGTGGACATGGACCTACGCAAAGTTTCCATGGCGTCTTGGTTTGTCTTTCCCAGTAATGATTCTCCATTTACTGCTATTAGTTGGTCATTCACTCGGAGTCTTCCATCCTAACAAGAAAAAAGAAAAAAGAGACTTAGTAAAGTTTTTTGGGGGGAGGGGGCTTTATTTATTTAACAAAGCAGAACATAGAGAAAACAAATAAAATATATATAAAAGAACAACAAAAAAATACAGTAATAACAACATTGTGTGTGTGTGTGTGTGTGTGTGTGTGTGTGTGTGTGTGTGTGTGTGTGTGTGTGTGTGTGTGTGTGTGTGTGTGTGTGTGTGTGTGTGTGTGTGTGTGTGTCTGTGTATGATAGCCACTCACTAAAATCTCCCAGGATATATCTATTACATTAGCATAGTGCAGATTTAGTCTGGCAAGTTTTTTCTATAAGGTATAAGCATTTATTGCTTTTATAGAGCTGAATTTGGTTGGATTGTTTCTCTGTTGTTCTTGGGCTGGGCCTCACATAAAGGGAGCCACAGTGTGAGGAAAACTGTACCCGTGCTCCCCATTCTGGTGTGTCCCCAAGGGCCCCCTCCTGTGTGGGAGAAAAAGGGCTCACCTGTCGACCACCGGTGCCCCCCAGCCAAGCCCTACCTTACCAGCAGGCATCCAAGTTGCTCCCTCATCCTTCCCTCAACACCCACAGCTATTAAGAGATTTCAGATTTCTGCCTCGTTTCCAAAGCAATCAATCACCACTCGCCTGTCAGGCCTTACCACCAGCCAATTGGGTGCAGGGGACAGAGGGAGGTGGGAAAGAAGTTGGGGATACACCCATGACAATCATGTGACCTGGACTGACCATGGCAGCACAGCATCATGTTAGTGCTGAAGCAGCCACAAATTTCCCAAATGTCAATCCCATGGGAGTAACGGGTCCTGGATTTTGGACGCATTCTGTAAGTTAGCCCATTTGAGGTACATTGGTTCAAAAATTGTTGCCCTATGTCGCACTGTTTCACCCAGTTGGAGGTTACAGACACAAGAGTTTTAGTAGTGTGTGTATGTATATGTACATGCGTAGGTATGTAGGTATGTAGGTATGTAGGTATGTAGGTATGTAGATAGATAGATAGATAGATAGATAGATAGATAGATAGATAGA